CGAGGCTGTGCAGACTCACCCCTCCTACTGCCACTTTAACAGTTAAATAGCAATTTTGCAGTATTGTGTAATAATCCATAACCTTCAAAGTGTTTTTATCAACTCGTGGTCTTTCTGATGACCTTAAAGATTAAGAAGAAAACATATATGCACCATCAGCAAGTTTGCGGATGATACCAAGCTGTGTGGTGTTGTCGATACACCAGAGGGACGGGATGTCATCCAAAAGGACCTGGACAGGCTGGAGAGGTGGGCCCAGGTGAACCTCATGAGGTTCAACAAGAGCAAATGCAAGGTTCTGCACCTGGGCCGGAACAATCCTTGCCACCAATACAAACTAGGGGGTGAGCTACTGGAAAGCATCCCTGAGGAAAGGGACTTGGGGCTGCTGGTGGATGAGAAGCTGGACATGAGCAGGCAGTGGGCACTTGCAGCCCAGAAGGCCAATTGCATCCCGGGCTGCATCAAAAGATGCGTTGCCAGCAGGTCCAGAGAGGGGATTCTTCCGCTTTACTCTGCTCTGGTGAGACCTCACCTGGAGTATTGTGTGCAGGTCTGGAGCCCTCAATATAGGAAAGACATGGACCTGCTGGAGCAGGTCCAGAGGAGGGCCACGAGGATGATCAGGGGGATGGAGCACCTCTGCTACAAGGACAGGCTGAGGGAGCTGGGGTTGTTCAGCCTGGAGAAGAGGAGGCTCCGGGGAGACCTAATAGCAGCCTTCCAGTACCTGAAGGGGGCCTACAGGAAGGCTGGGGAGAGCCTGTTTACAAAGGCCTGTAGTGACAGGACGAGGGGAAATGGCTTCAAGCTGGAGGGGAGCAGATTTAGACTGGAGATTAGGAGAAAGTTCTTTACTGTGAGGGTGGTGGAGCACTGGAACAGGTTGCCCAGGGAGGTGGTGAGGCCCCATCCCTGGAGATATTCAAGGTGAGGCTCGATGAGGCCCTGGGCAACCTGGTCTAGTTGGGGGTGTCCCTGCTGACTGCGGGGAGGTCGGACTAGATGACCTTTGGAGGTCCCTTCCGGCCTGAGCAATTCTATGATTCTATGATTCTATATGCAATCTATATACATGTAGATTCTGTCCATGCAGCCAAGTCTTGGTGCTCCTGAATTAGGATACTGCCTCGGGGTCTCGGCGTGCCTTCCACACACAGCCACAGAGCTGTTTCATACATGGCAAACACTGGCTCACGTGTGAGCTGAACAGGACCACAGAAGCCCAGCAGTTATTGGTGCATCTTGTGAGCCCAAATCCTCTCAATTCAAAACAGCACAACGAAGAAGAGCTGAAGCTTAAATGAAAACAGTCTAATTTTCTAGCAGCACTACAGCGCTCTTGAAATCTACACTAACTTTGCTACAAAATACAGGAAATTAAAGCACTGTAACAAAATCCACTGCACATGAAGCATTTGGAATGTAAAATGGATCTGTGATGTTACCATGACAAAAAAAATGTAGGAAATACCAGCAGTCGTATTTGCAAAGAGAAGGCGACAGTTATTCTTACACCACCAGTTACAGCCAGTGAGCAGCAGCAGCTCCCTCCAATTGGAGACTTTGCTCACTGGGCTGATTGTAGAGATGAGCGTGCTGTCACCAGAACAGGGCAGCTGAACCTTCCACAGTCAAGATAAAGACCAAGTCCTCTATCAAACAAGCTCTATCAGATACACATGCGGCCATGCAAAACCAAGGAGCGGTCTGTAGTCCTGGTTAGGAAGAACTCACAAACACGACCAGTAAGCCAGAAGTCCTGGCAGCCCTGAGAACCAGAAAACAGCCACTGCAAAGAGTGAGGCTCGTTCAGCTTCTTTGAACTGAAATTCAATATGATCACGGGCCTGAAATCTTTAGATCTCCTTGGTCTTCTCATCTGTTACAATTTTTTTCTAGTTCCTTGGAGGTTTACCTCGATGGTTGATATCCCGGGCTCAGTTGTGCCGCTCCTTTCTGTACCTTCCTGAGGACACTTTTTATTTACTATCACCTTCTCTGTTCTGCCTAGCAAGTATTAAGCCACACAATATCAACTGCTCCTTTTGGTTTTCCCCTTTCAATGACAATTTAGATCCGGTGTTTCATAGGCCGACAGGCTACATGACCCACAACACTCTTCTCTAAATGGCTGTGGCAGCTTTGTCCAGTCCCGTATCATAATGGCACCAACACGCCATCCCATTCATACCTTTCCTAGATACTCCCATAAACAATTAGAAGTTCACTATTTCAATACCCACTTAAATAGGAATGTGTGTCAACAATTCTTGAAGAGGCAATTAACACTTCTGAGACCACTTGTCTCAGTTCTCTACAGCCATTCATACCTGAAAATGTTCGATTCATATTTTGGGTATCTCCTTTACAATCATAAAGGCTGCAGACTTGCTTGTATATAGAATCTTGGTCTGCCTCACCACCGCAGTGAGGAGCTTTAATTTTCTCTATAGCATAAGCTATACATACGTGTTCACACATATATAAACTGTTTGTACAGAACACAACATCCCTGATGAGTAGAGGGACGCCTCATCCCCCAAAACCTAAGAAAACGGGAATGGAGGGTAAAGCCACCAACCGCCTCGCTGCCATTGAAGGGACATAACCTACTCCGTTCCTGTCCCCTCCCTCTGTCTCCCAACTACTCCTGGGCACACACTTCCACCGCTCACCTCGCACCAGGTCTAGCAACCATGGAATCAGCTTAGAAAATGCCAAATGCGAGAAACTGACAAAAAACAGCCTCCAGCTGGATGGCTTTATCTTAAATCAGGGAATTTAACCTATTCTCGGAAGCATCTAGTGAGGGCCACACCTGGCCAGAAGGGAGGGAAAACCCCCTCATGTGAGGAGGGGCAGTGGGGAGCTACGTGCCCCTCCTTTGGCAGGAGCCAGCTGTTAGTCTAACTCAGGTACACGGGGACCTGGGCCCAAACTGGTGGGAATCCAGTTCACTGTGTTATGCCTTGTTTAACCAGACAGCACCGTCGCCAGTAAAGCCTGCATCCCGCAGTCCCCCTCACAGATCACAGAACTGCATTTTCATTTCCGAGTAATTTCCAACTTTCTTTTCCAATACATAAAAGAATCTAAGATTTTACACTGAAAATAAATCGTGATTGTTAATACAGGTCATGAATAATAAATTAAATAATGCTTGAATTTACTTAAAACTCAAGCACACTAGATCATTTTTCACATAAATAAAGCCCTCAAAAAGTTCTAGCAGAAGGAACTACTTAGATTCATAACAGAACTGTGCTTTATTTGTTACAGCTGTTCCTTTATGATACCTGATCCTAGACATAAATTCCTTTGTTTTGGAAATGGCGGTTCACATGCTGAGCCCAAAGCGCGTATTATCAGGGCAGATACAATTAATTTCATCAGTGTAATAAAATGTATGGTTGCCTGGAAAATAAAATCCTGCAAAGGCTGAGTTGTTCCCTTTGGTAATAAAATGATGATCTGCTATAACTTAATGTAGATTAAAAACTGTACAATACTATCCAGGCTACCACAAAGGAAGTTAATAAAAGCTGAGGGTGCACCCTAATAGGTTGTCGGCTCTCCCGTCTCGTGTTAGGTGTGCCATAAATCAGCAGTTTCAACCCAATACTGTCGGTTACATTAGAGAGGAACTGCAAGAACTTTTTTTCTTTAATAGTACAGACTCATAATTCTTTTTCTTCATTATGACGTACACAGAAACCTCACCGGTGAATGTATTTTTTAGATTTCTTTTTCCTCTCCCCTACGTATTTTTAAAATAAATAATACATTGAAAAGATACATCTACAGTATTTGTAAATGTGAAATCAAACCATGACATACGTTTCTGCATCATTTCACAGAAGAATTTTATTTTACTCTTGAAATGAGAAATAAATTCACAGTATTATTGAGGAAATAATGTAAGTGTAAATTCTGAGAAAACAAATGAACAACCACTGATTCTAATACGAATAACAGCCAACCCTCAACATTTAAAGAAAGTTATCACAGCAGAAACACAGCTCTCTCTCCTACTTATTTTGCAAGACACCACCGCAGACTCAAGTTTAACCTAATACAAGATTCTCTTCTTGGAAAAACAAGACGATAAATGGAAAGCATGGGCACTGGATGTTTCCTAAATGTAATATTCAGGGAAGTTAAATTCTAAATATGATTTACCCCTTTCTAATTTATTTCAATCACTGCTAGTTACAGTGGTTGATTATTTCATTTACCTATGTTAGACATCTGTTTTAAATCCGTCTCTATACAGAAGTAAAGTGGCTTTTTCCAAGAGGCATGAGTTTCAGTAGCTTATTGAAAGCTTTTTTAAGTATTAGAAACCATGGGCAATGATTCAGAGAACACGCGAGCACAACACCGAGCTGAAGAAGGAGAGAGGCCGGGGGCAGCACAGCCCAACCCCTGCCACCGCAGGGTGCGATACGCCGCTCGGATCAGCGACTCTGAAACATATTTATAAGTTTTTGGAAGAATCGCGCCAAGTCCCGTCAGGCAACTCCTGAGCATCGCCACGCTGCGTTGTAACAGGGCAGCCGCCGGACCCGGCTGGGCCTCGCCTGGAACCGGGTCCCCACACCGGGCTCAGGCACCCCGTGGCGGCACCGCCCAGCCCCGCCGGGCCTACACTGCCGCACTGCTCCCCGGGCTGCGGCTCCGCGGGGCCGGGACCCCAGAACCCACCGCCCCTCCGCGGGCGGCAGGCCCAGGGCCGGCCCCAGGCGGCGCCCGACACCCTTCCCCTCAGGCACCGGCGCGGGGGGGAGGCGCAGCCGCACCTCCCTTCCTCCTGAAAATCCCCCCTTTGCCCTACAGCCGCTTGCCCGGCCCCGCTCCCGGGCTCCAGCCGGCGGTGCCTCACGGGGGCGGACCCCACCGAGGCGCCCGTCCGTCCTGCCCACTCTCCGTCCCCCGCTGCCGCCCGCCCTGCCCGCGGCGCAGGCGCTGCACCCCCCCCCGCCCACGTCTATCCTCTCGCGAGATCTGAGGCGCCCCGCGAGACATCCGGGGCCGGCGGTTGTTTGCGCGGCGGGGCAAGATGGCGGTGGAGTCGCGGGTCACGCAGGAGGAGATTAAGAAGGAGCCGGAGAAGCCCATCGACCGGGAGAAGGTGCTGGGCGCGGGGCGGCGCAGTTCTCCTGTGCTGCTGCAGGGCGGGCATTGGGGGTGAGGGGAAGAGGGGAGGGTATGGCGGCGCCCTGAGGCCTCGGGTCAGCGGGGGGGGAGATGGCGGTTGGGGCTGAGGAGCGGTCCCTCATCCCCCCTCGTCCCGCAGACGTGCCCGCTGCTGCTTCGCGTCTTCACCACCAACAACGGGCGGCACCACCGCATGGACGAGTTCTCCCGCGGCAACGTGCCTTCCAGCGAGCTGCAGATCTACACCTGGTGAGTGCGCGGCGGCCCGGGCCCCTCCGCACGGCCCTCGGGCAGGGAGGCGAGCGGGGCTCCCAGCGCTCTCGGGGAGCTGGCCCGGCCTCAACTGCCTTCTTCCGTGCGCAGCTGCCAGAGGGAGTCCATAGGCCTCGTTTAAAGGCGTAAATGTGTGTGTGTGGGGCTTCCATAGGGGCTGGTGCGCGGTGGTGGCTCCGGGGGGGAAGGCAGCTGCCGTTGAGATAGGGCGCTTCTGCCGACGGCGGCCGTGGAAAGTCAGGCGTGGAGTCCGTGGAAGCACAACTTCAGCCAAGTGCTGGGTGCTGCACGCTGAAACTTGCTGTGGCTGAGTTGCCTCATTATTGATGCACATAATCAGAGGCTTGTGCTGTGTTTGGTTATCACAACGAATCTGCTCAACATAGAGGTTCTCCTTTAATGCTTAAATTTTGTTCCAACGGCCCTGTTTTTTCAGTAGAAGTAGTTGGTCCAGAAGGCTGGAACTGTTGTGTGAATGGTGTGTTGGGTTTAAGTCAGAGCCTCTTGAGAGTGAAATAATGCGTTTCCTTTTCATAGAATCATAGAATTGTTGAGGTTGGAAGGGACCTTTCAGATCTTCTAGTCCAACCACCAGCCTAATTTGTCTGGCCAGGTAGCAGTGCTTCAACAGGGAGGTGCTTTTTATTGTTTTCACATTTAGTTAGGAAAACTGGTTTAGTCTGCATCACAAACACATTAGTTTTTCTTTGTAGTATTTTAATGAATGCTTTTGAAACTGAATCATGCTACTTTTTAAGATCTTGTATTTCCTTTAAGATGTCTGGGAGGTTCAGAACTCATATGCCATCTGGTTGAATAAATCCATTTTTGTGGCTAGCAAAGCATGCAGTTATAATTTACTTCTTAATGGGATTGATGGACTCAGTCCAGGCTATTGATGGTGTCTGAGCTGTTGCCATCTGCAGAAGTCAGAATGGGCATTGTCTGGCAACACACTGCGCCTTGGTTACTCGAAGCAAGTGTGCAGTCTCTGTAATTAGAGCTGCTTTAGTTGTGATGATTGAGTCCTTTTGTTCTTGAAATTCTAGAAATGAGCTTTAGCGCTCGTCTGGGTGAAGGCTGGAAAAACAAGCAACGCTGCCCGTTGGGGCAGAAGCAGATGGAAATGGAAGACCATTAATGACTTTTTTTCCCCTTTAATTTCTACATTTCCTTTAGTATTCAAGAAGCTGTTTTAACATAAACGCACCGTAGGTGAGGAAGCAGCGTTAATTGTATAAATGCATCAACCACATTTGCACTAGACCACGTTGCCTCCAGTGTACAGTATGTAGTGAATTCTCCCAGGTGTGTTAATCAGTAACTAAAGTAATTTATTGCCACTTGATTGTTATACCAAAATATATTGTTTGGGATGCTGTGTGGTTGTGAGGTCGCTATGTAAGATCTTGCTCATCTTCAGGTATTGACAGAAAGTACTCTAAGGAAATGTATGGTTAAGTTGTAGCAATGTATCAATTCCACCTTAAATGTGTTTGGGGAAGCTTTTTTATTGTTTTTGCTTTTGAGAATGTGAATTGCTTTGGTTTGTTTGTTTCATCTAGGATGGATGCAACTCTGAAAGAGCTGACCAGCTTAGTGAAAGAAGTCTACCCTGAAGCACGCAAGAAGGGCACGCACTTCAATTTTGCAATTGTTTTTACAGATCTCAAGAGGCCTGGATATAGGTAAATGGCGTTTCTTCTCTGGGTTAATAGAAGGCTTCAGGCCCTGGTGCAGTAAATTGTTTCTCATTAGCACTGATTTTAAAGTTGAGAACCCACAAATCAAATTTCTGAAGTTCTTGATAGGAGACTGTACGATGGCCACTACAAACTCCACGTTCTGCTTGGTGGCCATTGTTAATGTGTTCCCAAAACGGTGAACCTGTGTGCTTGAAGGCTTTGGTTGCTGTATTGGCAAACACCAGAACATGGACCTACAGCTCGAGGGGAAGCTTTGTGTCTGGTGACATGAGGAGCAGTAGGTCTTGTATCTGAGAATGTATTTGGGTTTTAGCAGTGATGTTGTTGCAGGTGTCCATCTTCCAAAGCTGTATGAGCTAACCTTCAGCAGCACCAGGGGACACATCCTGCTCTGTGGGGTCGTTTATGGAAGGGGGCAAGGGGTTCTCTCTAGTCTTTAACTTAACACAGGAGAAGGTTCCCCCATCCCTCTGCCCCATCAGAAGGAGGATTCGATGTTGCTTTTCTTGGTGCACCTGGTACTGGAGAGAAAACCCCAGCATGATGTGCACGTGGATAAATGTGAACTACAGAGCAGAGGATGGCACGGGGAGGTGGCCGTGAGCCGGTGCAGTTCCTGTTTTGGACATCTGGAGAGATTTGCCTCTAACGACCTTGCCTTTCCTGTCCTGCACGCAGGGTGAAGGAGATCGGCAGCACCATGTCGGGCAGGAAGGGCACAGATGATTCCATGACATTGCAGTCTCAGAAATTCCAGATAGGAGACTACTTGGATATAGCAATCACTCCTCCCAACCGTGCACCGCCCCCGTCGAGCCGCATGAGACCATACTGAGCTGGTGCTTCTGCGTGTGATCGCGCCTTCTGTTTATTCCTACTTGCTGTTCTAAAGCAGGCTTACTTTTTTTTTTTTTGCTTTTGTTGCTAAGCAAGAACACCTGAAGACAAAGCTAAGCATCAGAAATGAAAGTTAATTTTTAAACCTTTTTGTTTATTTGTTTAGAAGAAACACTTCTCTTTAGCGGTGCCATCATCCTATCCCTGATTGTTATAGTCTGAGCAGTAAGTCGGTGTGTCCAGTGTTTCAAGACTTCCGTAAAAGGCGACCAGAAGGATTACAGGTGTTCTGTAGTTCTGTCTTGTTTGGAATAAAGATTGATGTTATTGATCTTTTGATAGTGTGGTGGTTTGGTTCGTTTGTTTAAGTGGATTTCTGTAGACGAATTTGGCAGTTGGCTTTTAAGCAGCAGTTGAAAGGAGGGCCAAAGCCTTTTTCTGGTAACTTCTGGGCTTGTTGAGTAGAGGTGGCCTCACGGGGACTCCTTGTATGGGAGGATTTTCTTAAACCACTGCTCGCTGGCTGGATTTTGGCAGAATTTTGTATTGATTGGGGTGCATTTGGGAGGATGAGCATGTGGGTAGCGTGGCTGAAGGCAGCGTACGCCCCCAAAATTGTTATTTATAAACGAGACACATCTGCCACTGTACTAATATATTATGTGCATTTTAAAACTACACAAAAATAGAAAAGAAAAAAGGTGAAATACTTTAAAAATATTTTTAAATTGTATTAATGGTACCAAAAGTACTATCTTCCGGCACCCTACTTGTGTGTGTATTCCTTTGGAGATTGTCTTGTCTTCGGCTTGTCTTGCACACCCCACTTTGAAGACCACCATCTTGGAAGATGGGGGTGTCTGCGGGGACCTGGCCAGAGGAAATCCCGTGTTTTCAGATGGAGGTTGACTAAGGAGCACCCAGAACTATTTCCTAATGCGGACACAGTGGCAGGTGCCCTGCCCCAAGGTGCTCACCCGCAGCCCAGGTGAAGGGAGGGGAGGTCAGGCAGGGACATGTGTGAGTCCTGACCCTGACCACTGGGTTCTTGGCCAAGCAGACCTGTGGGGTGGAGGCAGCCAGCTGGCGTGACTGGATCTCCTGGGCCGTTGACCACAAGCACTACATTGTCAGTGTACACTGACCAAGAGGACAACACCCAATCTTGGCTTCCAGAACCCTAAGGAAGGTGAGTACTGTAGCCTCTTTCCCTTGGTTATCTTTGTCTAATAAATACATAGGATTTTGGACCCTGCACTGACCAGTCTGAGCTGGGTGAGTCTTGCTGCTTGATCTTCAGTAAGATGATTTTCACAAACACTTGCAGATGGTACTAAGCACCAGTTTCTTCATTTGCTGTAACCCTTGGGTGTCGGGGCAAGGCCGAGGAGCAGTGAGGTATCAAGGCTGTTCTGTTACAAATTACTGGTGAAGCTGGAGGTTGTTGAGGGGGACTAGTGACCAACTTCCAGAACCTCAATATAGAGGAAGGGGTAGCTGAGGGGTCTCGGTTGTCCATGGTGTTGCCTGGAACCTTCTTAAGGAGCAGAAGAAAGAAGGGGTGACCCATCGACCAGCAAATCAGTGCAACGCCAGAGGATGGGGCCTGTGGCTTCCCGTAGCTCAGCGCTTGCCGGTTTCTCCTGTCACTGCAGGGGGAGATCTTGAGACATGAGGTGCCTCTTGGGCTTAGAGCAGGCTCCAGCTGTCCCCGGGCTGGGCTGTGAGCCCTCACCATCCAGCTGGTCCAGGGAGAGCCAGGTTCTTGATTTTTGCATGTTGTGTCCCTGTGTGCAGACAGAAAGGCAAGAGCAGAAGTAGAAGCTGTAGCTGCTCCTGAGGGCCTTCACCTTCCTCACTTAAGGCCTTAGCAGAGCTGAGCTAAGAGTGAAGTAAGTGTTCTGTCTGCTGGGGACAAGGCATGTGCTGTGATTTATCTATTTTTATCTTTTTTTTTTTTTTTTCCTCTCTCAGGAGTCCATCAGTGCAGTACAGCCTGAGGGATTTTAGGTTCATTTCTGCCCACGGTTCGTCCTCTTCTGTCCCCCTTCTCTGGCTTGTTGTGATTTCAGCCTTCATGAATGACCCTCATTTACAGAATTTCCTGTATCTGAGTCACTTCTCCCCCTAAGACTGAAGGGGTTGAAAAGTGCTCCTTTTTTCTTTTGTAAAGAGAGCTCAAGCGAAAATATAAATGTTGCTTTCTAAAGGAGCGTGAGCCTGGAAGTGGCAGTGGAGCTGGTCTGGTGTGGCCAGAGGTGGGGTGGGTGGGATGTTTTGCCAGGATGAAGTCAGTCACCTCTGGTGCAAGGGGGAGGCTCTCCACGACACCGCTGCTGTGAGGAGCCCACTTGTCATAACAGCTCGATGACTTCCGTGTCTCCAGGGGCAGGCTGGTCAGGACCCCTGCTGCCTACGTGCTGGGTTGTGGCCAGCAGCAGCTGTCTGGTTTTTGGCATCTTATAGACCTGGACAGACAGAAGAGTGAAGATCACTGCTGAGTGGCCTGCTCCCCATGGGGCATCATCCGTGCTGCAAAATGAGTGAGGTGAGTCCTGGGGTAACCAGCACCTAATCACAGAATTGCACAGCCTCCCACCCGAGGCAAGGACAAACCTGCCCGTTAGAGGTACACAGGAATATGGGCATTTCCTCATTTGTCTGTCTTTAATTGAATTTAAGAATAGTTCTCAAAATTAAATGTCAATGTATAAGGCAACAGCAGCACGTGAGCCCCTGTCTGTGACCCAGCTGCTCTGGGAGGTGGCTTGGCTTTGCTGCTGGAGAGGGAGACCTGACCCAGTGAGGGCTTGTGCCTGCCCAGCCTGGGGCAGCTCTTCACACACCAGAGAAAAAGAGGAACAAGGCACTGGCTTTTATCTTTGGGAGCATGTGAAGCAAAATCACCAGGAAACTACAACAAAGAACCACCTTCAGTAGCAAATCCTTCAGTTTGACTGCTTAGGTGTGGACTTCACCTTGGCATGACAGCCATGGAAATGTAAACTTCAGCTGACCTCTTAGCTGCTTTGGGCTAAACATCTCTCAAGAAAGAGATTTCCCCTCAAACACCTGCAGGTGAAGAGTTCAACTTTCTGTACCTGTTTTTATGGGAACAGACACTTGAGTGGTCAGTGCAGTTAGGGCTCCCTGCGCCAAAATTCACTGCACAACCGAGGCCGTCAGCAGCAGTTTTGAACTCAGACATGGGGATAGAGCAAACAGCTGTGAGAGCAGACAGCAGCAGGGCACAGCCATCCAGATGTTGCAAGAGGTAGAAGGGTATGTGAAAGTTGTCACCTGCTAAGCTTCTGCTGCACAGGAAGGAATTTACTCACAGTAATGAGGTTTTGTGTCTCTTTCCAAGCTACTATAAAAACGGAGGAAGGATGTCAGTCCCTTAAAAGAGCAAAATATGTACAGCACAGTGGTTCAGGGAAATTAAAACATGGTCTCAAAACTCTGCAACAGTGAGCAATCCCATATGCTCAGGAAGCAAAGTCATGGAGACAACACTACACCCAGATCTGTCAATCCACAGGACTTGCTTTGTCAGCAGCAATTGCATCTGGAACGCTGGTCCCTTGTTTAAGGCAGCTTAAAGCCCCGACAGGCACAACTCTCAGTTTCATCTCTGCACTTTCACCAGCAACCACCCCTCCAAAGTCCTTTTATCTCCCAGCTGCGTAAGGCAAAGACCTAGGATGGTTGTTTTCAAAAAAAGGCTTTCCTAGTGATGTAATTTCTCAGTGGTTAGGCCCACGCACAGCACTGCAGGCAGCTCTCAGCCCCTCTAGGGGTACCACACCTACACCCCCCCCATTTGCAGGTAACCCTCCAGGCTTCACTTTGTCCCTGTCAGGGGGTGGTCACCCCCCTGTCAGGGGTCCCCTCAGGGGGGCTTGGTTTTTCTCTGCCTCTAGGCAGTGACAAACACCTGGGCCACTTGTGCAGGTCAGGTCCTGTCGGGCTGCAGCAGTGAGCCGGCTGAGCTGGGCTCCGTGGCAGGGCCAGGACTTCCCCCAGCCTGCGGGTGCAGCGCAGTCAAATGGACCCAGCTACAAAACTGAGGCAATTCCCCTAATTTCTCAGCTTGAATGAGACAAGACAAGATCAAAGAGATTCACGGACCTAGTCAGCTCCCCACCAGGGCAGCACAACCCTTACAAAAGCGTTTCTGCAGGGCTTTTGGGAGCAGCTGGCTGCAGCTCTGGTGTTAATTCCCTCCCTAGTTAAGCAGTGAGGACAAGGCTCTCCCACACATTTTGTCAATAACCTGGGCTGCATCAGACATGCTCCTTGCTCCCTGGTTTCCATCTGACTGAAGACTTAAGTTTTGCTTTACCACTCTGGAAAAAGCAGAAATTAGCCCAAAACAACAGGAAAACATTAGGCATTATCAGCAAGTTTTCACTCTTGTGATGGAAAGCACGGGAAAAGGAAAAGGTCTCAGAAACCCTGTTGTGTCAGAACAAATGACCAGCAGCAGCTACAGCTGTGTTCAGAGAACAGTGCTGGAAGTGATGCGACAGGTAAGACACAACCTGCCAAAACCAAAGCCATCCAATGACTGCTCTTGTCTCAGCCCTTGTATCTAGATGTTACAGCAGATAGATGGGTTAGGAAAAAGGCTCAGTTCCTCCGACAGAACAGGACGCTGAGGAATGTGACTTGTAAAACACCCGTGTACAGGCGCTGCGCCCGACCATGGCAGGCCTGTCGGCCATGAGCAGGAGGTGCCTGGCTGGCACACCAGGCAAGGCCCTGGAGGTAAAAAATGGCTAAAGGCTGGTGGGTTCAGAGGGCCCAGGGTGTTCAGGATCCTCCCTGGGGTGTTTCAGTCTCACAGAACAGACAGGCTCAAGTAGAGACATCCGGGCCCAAAAACTCACTTGAGCCTTTCAACGCTCGGCAAGAAAATCCAGTGAATGCTGCAAGTGACAGCGTCAAGGGCCAGTCTGGGTGAGCTCCTTGGTGCTGGCTGAGGCACGCATTTCCCATGCCATGCTTCAGGAAAATGTGAGTTAAGAGTCTTCAGGCTTGAAGAGACTTGGAGGTTTTTAACAGGGGTCTGAAACCCGTGTGTGCTGTTTGGATCCAAGCATTCATTTCCTTGAGTCCTCCGTGCACATTTAGGAGATGCAGAAGACCTGCCACCACTCCGTTGCTAAGCAAGAGGTAGGATCAAGCACAGCTGACCATTTTCCTTCCAGTCTTCTGCTGAGGTCTTTTAGCTGAATACCATGAAGCACCCACCCCAGGATTCAGAGGAGGGGAGAGACCCAACAGTGGTCCCAGGCAGAGCGTTTGAAGAACAGCATCAGACACGCAGCAGTCCCCCACCAACACCCCTTGCTACCTTCTCAGCTGGAGCTGTGCATGTCCCACAGCCCTTGCCCAGCCCTGCTGGCAACCACACCATGCTCCTGCTGCCTTTGGGTTAAGAACTGCACCGGAGGGGCTTCCACTTGAAAGGGAGATGGGGAGCATGTAAATTTGAGAGTACTAAAAGTCTGAAATACAGTCCCACCAGCACCACAACAGTCTACATGGCCAGGAACGATCCACACCTCCCTGCAGCTATAGGGTGATTTTCCAAAATTGAGGATTCTCCCAGCAGCCGTGTCCCCCGCAGTCCAATTCATGTACAACCGCCCAAGCAGTTGCCCTGGGAGGAGAGAGGGAAGTTTGGGAGCAGGAGCGATGGGTGGTGGGGTAAAGAAGAGGAACTGCTTTAGCTGCCACGGAAGTGTTCATGGGGCAATAGCCTCAGGAAACCTTACCCAAGCAGAGAGACAGGATACGATTCCCCAGGCAGTCTACAGGCTGCCAGTGAAGGAGAATGTCCTGGCTCCCACTGCCCCCACCCTTTCCCTCCTCTTGCCTCAACACCTGTCTGTGCCTTTGCAGGCGAGCAGTGATTTGGGTCAGCGCAGAGTCCATGAATAATTTAACCCTGGAAAACAACAATTAGTTCCTGGTGGCTGGGCAAGAAGGAATGGCTTCCCAGCTTCCCCTGCAGCCACAACTGCAGTGACGCAGCCAAGGGTGTGGGACCTGCTGGGGGAGAGGAAAGGTGGGACGGAGGAGCAAGGCCTTAGATTGGTTCACAACAACTGCGTAAGCAATCGTTAGCGAGCATAACCACAGGGCTTCCAGCCAGGAATTATGAAAGTATTTGAACACCTTCCTGCTGGGTATTCGGCAAACTATTCTTCTCTTAGTCTCTCCACAGGAGAAACACTTACGTGTCACCACATCTTCTTCCAACGACTAGCGCCTGTGTGCTATTTATTTTTTAAACCCTTCAACTTGCACTAGACAAGGCAAGATCAAAGACATTCATAGACCTGGCCAGTTCCCTACCATAACACGATAACATCAACTGCTCCTTTGTCAAAGTGGATACTACTGTAAGAACAGCATGAGGTTTCATGTTTAGGTCAATATCTCCAGCATTGACTGATGTCTTCCTTGTAGAAAGCTGTATTCCTGTGGACTGATGCACATGCGATTCCATAGTACGGCCACTGGATGTTGTCATTGCTCCTTAGTGTGAGAAACACCGGCTCACACATAGAATTTAAAAAGGACAAAATCGCCGAAGCACAGATCTAGTTTACACCTTTTTACCTTACAAGGCATACCCTCTTACTCCACAAAATCATTATCCTAAACACACCTTTGATTAGTTGATTAGCTACATGTTATTTCACAGTCTTTGCTATCATCTACTGTCCAGTGTTAGTGGTTACAAGCACCCTGATGGTCCTATCCTCATCTTCATCAGCCACCCTCTACCTGACCTTCATCCACTTGTCAGTCTCCACAGTCCTTTGTCCACTTATCAGTCTGCCATGGCCTGGCTCTCTTCACCTAGATGACTTCCCGTAGACCAGGACCCCTGGACAGCCCCAGGGCGCTTCTAAGGATTAGTTTGGTACAATGGGTGAGGCTCCACCATCACCGGGTCTCCTCCGTCAATACAGACATACTAAAAAAATATATCAATTAGCTGAAGCAAAACTCAGCCCATTTCTCACATTAGAAATGCCACAGTCTCTGTATTACCATCCCATGGGGAAACAAGGTACTCCCTAATTACAAGGCAGCTCCAACATCAGCCACAGCTGTTGCTGGGGCACATGCAACCACCATGAGGAGCGGAATATCTGAATAATGACAACAGGGAACAAAGCAAATGTCACATCTTACAGAAAGTTTAAAGCATCCGTGGTGCTTTAAATAACCAAGGAGGCCTGGACTCCAGTTACAGCTCTAGTGATTTATAAAAATATCAATAAAAGCACAACAGGAGGCACTAAAAGTGATGCTTGTCATTTATCTATTTGACAGCCATCTGGGAAGTTTCATTTCACTGCAAGATCTATATTTGTAATTTAACCTCAGGCTAAATATTTCTAAGATATTGCCCACTTTACAGGGGTTACAAAGCAGAACAACTGAGATGCTCCCTTGATAAAAAATGGGATTATGGAGAGAAGCTTTTGTTACCTAATACATTGATATACTTAAATGAAAATATTAAAAAAAAAAGATTAAGAACCATAGCAAATGAAGGAAAACTGAAGGCTATACGTTTCTAGTTGCTTCCCAGATGTCCCTAAATATGGAAGTGCAATTTTGTGCTGGATTCAATCTTTTCTGACTGCAGGCTATTGCTAGAGATGTGATCCTGTTCTCACCCTTCCCTTACACCTGATCCAGCAGTCCCAGAGGCAGATGTTGAGTTTGAGACTACTGTTAAGAGAGTATAAGCTAGAAAAGAAAAATTAATTAATCTTTCAGTGGATCAGCAAATGGAAGGAATCCATCACAAAACTGCAGGACATCTGAATTCTGTGCACAAGTGTGAAACAGCCTCTAGTGGAAGGAGCCCCCAGTTAAACTGGATTAAGCACAACACAGAACTGCGCTCTGAATCAACTCCCCGTTTTCCAGTGACAACTTACAGAACTACTGCAATTGCCACTTACATACCTACTGTTTGTCCAACTGCACTTTCTCTCAGGCCAATGCTGCAATCAGCTTCATCCCACAAACCAACCTGCAACTTTTAAGTTCTTTTGTATTATTCCCACTCTGCCATGTCATACTACTTAAGTGCACAGCGGGGTGAGCATTTCTTCCACAGCGATACTGGATTAAGTGGAGTCTCAACCTCCTCCGGCCCCACAGCTACATCCTTGGTTATTTCAGTGCAGTTTATCAGACAACCACAAAACCACCTGTGTGAGAGAACTGGTCTGAGTAAGAAAAAAAAGACAAAAAACCCCACAAAACTTTCCATCCCACCCCAGATTATTTTGAATACAGATCAGTTTCCAACACTGCTTAAGCTTTCACTTCTGCCAACTTTTCCCTCCCCCACTACCAATACTCAAACGACTGCTCAGGTCTTACTGAAACCTAAAAGGTTTTCAAAGGCAAGGCACAACAAACTAAAAGTAGTTCTTGTTTTGCTGCTCTGATTATATCCACCTCAGAACAAAAGTCCTGCTCTAAAGAAGACTATAAATACAAACAGCAATATTACATGTATTAGGGTAATATTGTAGGCAAGAGAAACAAAACTAGTAAAACTTTGCTTCTAGATTCCAAAAAGTCCTATGCCTGCATCATGTCACAATAGCTTACGGTGAGAATCCCAGAGCTGCTGGGGTACAACTCTACAGGTCCCTGATGGAGGAAAGGACAGTGGAGTGCAGAGCTGTTCCCAAGACATTTACAAGCCCTTTTGGGAATTTCAGTAGTTGCAGAGGCAGGGAGATCTAGGACAGTAGTTCTGCTTGATTCATTTGATTAAATAGCATCTTTCCGGATATCTGGATCACTTCAATGGCAAGAAAGCGGCCATGAAGCGTGGTGGAGGAAGAATGCAGGCTGTGAAACCCCTCCTGTAGCACTGATAAATCTGTCCGGCTGAAAGATTCCTGCTCTGCAGCACAACACTTTGTACCTTTTTACAACCAGGTAAATTCCATGACTAGCATCCAGCCTAGTAAATGGTTTTGCAAGTAAGTGCTTTTATAGCAGCAGATGATTAGTTTTGCAAGCAGCCACCAAGCATCCAAGACCTTTATTTAGCATTCAAAAATGCCGATCAAGCTGAAAGACTGATACATAATAATAATACTACTATATACACATTTTTCAACAGAAGCTAGCACCAAAAAATGACAGCGTGCTCAGGCCAGAATGAGTAAAAAATCAGCTTCTCCATTTAATATATCCTTAATCCTGGAGAATGACTGGAATAGGAAGAAAAAGGCTCCTTTACTTGCTAGGTTTTAGTGAGGGTAAGTCCATCTAAGCAACTGGAGAAACATCTCCAGATGTTTGCATATCCTGAGGACGTAAAAAAAAATTATATAAAAAATGTGGAACCCTCTTCTCCCCATCTCTGGGACATTTGCTTCCTACTCACGTTTTGCATGCCTAGCCTCATATAAGTGACAGGATTTTAGCCATCAGCAGGAAAACCACATACTGTCAGTAAGAGCAAGCCTGGAGTCACTGAGAGGAATAGCTGACACAGCATGTTTAGAAGTGACACCACCACTTATAGAATGCACATGGCAGCAGCATAGAAGATCAAGCAATCACTTACACACCTACCAGAAATCTCTCCAGCAGTTGGAAGACATACATAAGCAGCACCTATTGCACAATATATTTTCAAGTAATTCTATGCGAGCCAGAGTCACCTTTTAGGGCTACAGAGGTTAGACTGTCAAAAGGAAAACTGATGGAGAGCATATGATGTTGATGAAAGAGAACTATAATAAGAAAGAGGAAGCAGCATAAGAAATACTTGTCCATCAGACAGGTAAGAGCCTGATACATCTGATGTGTCTTAGTATTACAGAAGTGCTTTAGTACTATAGAAGTGATTTAAAGAGGAGTTACTCTTCACATACAAAGACTTGTTTCTGTTGAAGAAAGCAAACACTGTTGAAGTACTACATTTCAAACTCAGCCCTGAAGAGATGTACAGTGTCACCAGAACAGCCAGGGATACCCACTTTCTGGGGGAATATACTGGACCTTCCCTTCGTTGCAACCGATTCAGTGTTTGCAGCAGATTGTAGAGAATCAGGCAAAACACCTAAGTACTACCTCAGACATGGCCCCAGTCCTCTTTGAAACATACGTATATTTAAAAACCCTAAACATGTTTTGACAATAATTTCAGTGAAAAATTAAGCACAAGTTGTTCGTGTAAACAAGTTCATCTACATCAAACTTTCTCTGTTAAAAAAGCTCCTCCTTTGTATGGCTCTTTCCTCCCACCAGTATTTTCTTTCGCTTTTCGAGCTTGTTGTGATTCAGTGATAAGACCCATGAATATGAAACAGTCTCAACATGGTCTTCAGCTTGCTTTCAGACGTTTGGCTTGAAAAATCCAGAATATCCTCTGCAAATATATCCAGAAGAGTTCATGAACTTAATATCTAATCATATTTTGAATTAGCAGAAGACATAAACATTTTTATTCATTATCTTGATAAGAAAAAAAGGAAGGATTCAGGTAAAGTAAGAGCTTTGCTCTATTTGATTACTCAAATGGACTCCAACTCCAATTATATTAAGATATCTACTTTTATCAGTCTCATTCTGGGTTGTTGCGATTATTGACACCATTCATGTTGCTTGTACCTCTTACCTAAATAGTCTGTACTGACCCCAAGTTTAACAGGTAATCAGCAAGTATAATATACATTACGTTGGATCAGGAATATCTACACTTGATCAAGTTGTCACAATTTGAATCTATTCAAATTGATTAAGTTCTTTTTACAGCTATTATTCCATTGTTCAACGATTACTCATACTTATTGTAGACTAATTTAGTCTCACATATTATTCATATGGTGGCTTTGCATTTTAAATAAATTTCTCTTTGCCAGAACAACTGTAAAACCAGTAATGTCACTTCCATAGTTTTTTCCAATTCCTTAGTTTCATTGCCTAAATTTACTCAGAAGAAAGCATTCACCAGTGCTTTGGTTGTCACAAAGCAAAATATATATACAGATAAAACAGTAAAGAGCTACTTTCTCTTTCTTTTTTCTTTTTTTTTTTTGTTTTAAAGGTGGGAGGATTCAAACACACAAACAATTATATTTGTTCTTTACAATAAAAGGCAGTCAGATATTGTGCCAAAGAATAGTTATTTAGTGACAGCAAATAGAGCTATTTTGGTAGTTGAAGAGCAAGCAGCTGCATGTGTTTCTAAATGCCTTAAAGGATTTTCATAGCTCCTTCAAATGAAGTTACTTAACCAAATTTGTAAAATTTAATCGTACCTGTTCTCTTTGTTGCTGTAATCAGTGTAGTCGCTTTCATATCTTGTGATATTTCCCGCCTTGGTCTCCATTACCTTAGCTTTAGAAGAGTCTACTTTATGACTATACTTGGACAGAATCTACAGGAAATATTAAAAGGGAATAAAAAAAATAAATTATCTAAGAGCTTAAAACAAGATTACAGTGGATACATTTTCAATAAGCAGCAAAGAGCTTTTTTTTTTTGGAACAAAATTTACAGAACTAAGCCCTTTTACTTTTACTATTTTGATATTAAAACTATTTAGGAAAAAAAGTATATTAGCTAACCTGTAGAATATCATCTGGTATCCTTGTTATTTCTGGAGGTGGAGGAGTACTGAGTAACTGGTCATATGATTTCATTTTGGGAGGAGAAAGGTCTTCAAGACGTTTGAGATACTCATCAGAGCTCACAGTAGAAGGAATGCCCTCTTCTATGTGCTGTTTATCTGTTGCATCATTCTTTGTCGCAGACTCAATCTTTTCCTTCTCCTTTACCTGCTGCAGAAGTGGTATTAAATGCCTTCAGTTAATTTACTTATCCTAGGTAAAGTATTTATTAAAATTTCTTACAAAATTACCATTAGAAAGATATTCTACAATGACAAAAAAAAAAAAAAAGTATTTGAAAAGAATCCCAAACTGACATTTGGAAAACTGCTTATGGTAAAGAGTGTGTGAAAATGTACATAATTGCTGTTTACTACCTTAGCTTCTGTTTTTAGCCCTCTTGTTTCAAAATCTGGAAACTGTGGTGTTTGCATATGAGCGGGAAGAGGCAGTTCATTTGTCTCTGGTGACCTTGACAACATGCTATTTGTTCTGGAAGGGGTTTTCACATCAGGAGTACAGAATACAAGTACCATAGGAGAAGGCATCCAGTCAGCTTCTGAAATTAGGGGGGAGGGAGAAATAAAAATAAAACATAGACACACATATACATGTAATTATTATCAGTTCCAGTGCTCCAGTTTAGTTTTCCAAGTCTACTAGCTTTTCATATATCCTAAAAACATGCATCATTTTAGCTGATATTTTTACTATGAAGAACCATCCAAATTACAGAACTCTATAAAAGCAGCAAAGGCAAAAAAACCCGCCAAAGTAATAAATCTATTCTTGCTACTGAATATAGATGAAAAAGCCCAACTTAGATCAACATTGCTTTAGCTTCTCATATATTCAATCGTCAGTATGTTTGTCCCAAGATCTTCACACATTTTCAAGAGAACATATAACATCTCTTCTCAAAGAAGTTTTAGCACTACTCTTGAAAGATCTAAGTTACTGTCTCAATAGCCTACTTCAAAGCAGTTTCTTTCCTTTCTTTAAACAGATTTAATGGGTATTCTCAGATCAAAAAGGCTAAGTTGGCAAAACAGTATTTTTGCTGCACAGAATCACAGAATGGTTGGAGTTGGAAGGGACCTTTGGAGATCATCTAGTCCAAACCCCATGTCAAAGCAGGTTTTGAATATCTCCAGAGAAGGAGACTCCACCACCTTCCCGGGCAGCCTGTTCCAGTGCTCTGGCACCCTCAAAGTACAGAAGTTTTTCTTCATGTTTCTTCCTGTGTTCCAGTTTACACCCAGTGCCCCTTGTCTATCTGGAGTACTGTGTCTAGTTCTGGGCTCCCCAGTTCAAGAAAGACAGGCAACTGCTGGAGAGGGTACAGCAGAGGGCTAAAAGATATCAGGGGCCTGGAGCAGGAGCCCCTTTACGAGGAGAGTCTGAGGGACTTGGGTCTTTTTAGTCTGGAGAAGAGAAGGCTGAGGGGGAATCTGATCAATGCTTATAAATACTTAAAGGGTGGGTGTCAAGAAGACGGGGCCAGTCTGTTTTCAGTGGTGCCCAGGGACAGGACAAGAGGAAATGGGCACAAACTTGAATATAAGAAGTTCCACCTAAACATGAGGAGGAACTTCTTTCCTTTGAGGATGGCAGGGCACTGGAATAGGCTGCCCAGAGAGGTGGTGGAGTTTCCTTCTCTGGAGACATTCAGAACTCGCCTGGCCAAGTTCCTGTGCAACCTGCTCTAGGTGGACCTGCTTTCTTTGGCAGGGGGTTTGGACTCCATGATCTCCAGAGGTTCTTTCCAACCTCATGTGATTCTGTGATCTCCCTCAACCTGCTGGCCACACTCTTTTTAATGTACTCCAGGATGCCATTGGCCTTCTTGGCCACAAGGGCACATTGCTGGCTCACGGTCAACTTGTCCACCAGGTCTCCCAGGTCTTTTTCCACAGAGCTGCTTTCCAGCAGGTCAGCCCCCAGCCTGTACTGGTGCATGGGGTTTTTCCTCCTGAGATGCAGGACCCTACACTTGTCCTTCTTGAACTTCATTAGGTTCCTCTCCATCCAATTCTCCAGCCTGTCCAGGTCTCATTATGTGGCAGCATAGCAACTCTTGTGCATCAGTCACCCCTCCTGATTTTGTCATCGGCAAACTTGCTGAGGGTACGCTCTGTCCCTTCATCCAGGTCATTGATAACTATGTTGAACAAGACTGAACCCAGTACTGACACTGGGGAGCACCGCTAGCTACAGGCCTCCAACTGGACTCTGTCCCGCCGATCACAACCCTCTGAGCACTGCCATTCAGCCAGTTCTCGATCCACCTCTCTGTCCATTCATCCAACCCACACTTCCTAAACTTTCCTATGACGACGCTGTGGGAGACAGTGTCAAAAGCCTTGCTAAAGTCAAGCAACGTCCACTGCTCTCCCCTCATCTACCCAGCCAGTCATGCCATCACAGAAGGCTATCAGATTGGTCAAGCATGATTTTCCCTTGGTGAATACATATCCACCACTCCTGATAACCTTATTTCCTTCCCCCCCGCCCCCTGCTTAGATATGACATCCATTTCAAATAAGGGTAAGTTGCAGATACAAAATGAGGGATCCCTCTGCATAATTCTAGATGGATATGAGAAGAATGAGTAAGGATTTATACTGAAGTGAGTGACTTTCCCTTAGAAGCCACCAACATTTCATTTTCTAGACATTAGTACTCCTACAATAACTGGGCAAGAAACACAGTTTAAAAGTTTACCATGTGTTCACAATGCACTTACACATGCATAATGTAAAAAATGCATATGTATATTTATTTCATGTTTTTTTAACTTACCATTATCAGTTGTCACTTTTGGTTTTCGCCCAGGAGTAACCATGATTTTCCTGGGTGTCATTTCTGGTACATTCACTTCATGATCATCTTTTTTAACCAACCTGAAAACCAAACCCCTCAATTAGCTCTCAAGTAATATGAAGAAATTACAATTAAAGGAATACTGTCGACCCGATCACTTTCCTACTATTTGTTCATCAACATGCAAGTCAAAAATTCATTTCCTCAAAGATGATTTTTTCATAGATTTTTCATCTATGATTCTACTGCAGCAACTTGTAGCATGCAAACGTTCAGTCCATCCACAAATTATCAAATACACTGAGGTTTCAACCCAAGGCATAAAAAAAAACCCAAAATGAAACAAATAAACAAAAAGTGTCTAAGATAGGATCAATTTTCTTTGTCCCAGATGATCAATTCTGTGCTAGGGGTGCAGTCTATTTTATTTTGAATATCCTATTTTAGTCTATTTTATTTTGAATATTCTGTTGTATACAAAATTCTAAACAACAAGAGGCAATCTTTTTGGCTCTTAATCTACTAATGTTATTAAGAACACTAAAAGATTTTTAATTCAATTTTTAATAAGATCCATGAAAATCCATTTAGTTTTGTAGAATCAGTATTAGAAACTGAAATTGTTAAAGTTTTTTTTTCATATCCAAGATGTTCTAGTGGAAGAAAGATGTAGGCAATTAAGAGACAATACCTGACTAAAAGTGGAAACTTACCTAAACTCTACACAAAAATGTGTCTATAAGAAAAATATTTTAAATATTAAAAAAGTTATCTAAACTATGAGAACAAGAAATAGAACTTCTATACAGAAAGCCTAAGCTCAAAAAACCCCCCAAATCCACGAGGCAGCAGCTCAAATTTTGACTAAAAACCAAACCAAAACTTAACGTCAGTTTTGCCTTCAAATTGTTATAGATACCTGAAACAATATGATTTTTAGTATTTAAAATGGAGAAGAACACGTATAACAATAAACACTTCTGTTGAGACACTTTCCTTTTTTCCTCTTTTCTTTCCTAATTACTTTTGGTTTCAGTTTTGTAGTAGGTGCACCTAAGTATACTGTTCTTTTCACCTGCTTCAAAACTGAAAACCTGGAAAACAAAGTTGGAGGAGCTGAGGTCTACCACATATTTTTAAGGACTTTTAAAGTGGTTTTCACAGAATGCACAGCTGCCAGACAGACTTCAGCTAGGTACAAGGCCTGGCTGGCCCAAGCAATGCATATGAAAGGGCAGGGCCATTTCCAAAAAGGTCAGGATTGTTACCCATCTTTGTACCTGGAAACTGCAGGTATAAGGTTACCTCATTTGTACTAGGTTTTTTTTTTTTTTTGCTTATCTGATCAGATCAGCAAAAACACTTTTTTTTTTGAATTTGATTTTCTGGCTTTCAGATATTACAAAGCTTTATGGATGTTATAGTATTTACGTGACTATTCAAAATGAGAGATCCTAAAACTATTTAAGAAGAAAATGGATGTTTTCACTTTCCCCCCCAGTAATCTTAAAACTAAAAAAAAAAAAAAAACCCACTAAAAATTTAACCATTGCAGTAAACTGGATCTGTGGGGGACAAAAAGTCATTTAAGTTGGCATCGTCCTACAGAACTTCACACCTGTGCCTATATTGCAAATATAAAGGTTTAATAAAAAAAAGCTGAACTATTATTTCCACTACTTATTTTGAATATGGTAGGGTTTTGGAACAATTTGTCTAAATACCAAATATTTAACTGCTGAACAGCAGGTTTCTTCTAAAAACTGTTAGGTTTTAAAATTGAATGTGTTGCTAATAGTAACATGATCTAACTACCTTTACAATAGCAATAGCAGCAAAACATTAGTACAGCAAGTAAAAACTACAGCTAATTCAGTAGATAAACAATCTGAACTTAAGTAATTTACTCACTTCTTGCTTGTCTGAGCCGCTTTACGCATAAGTGACATTGTAAAATCTTCATTCATACACATGGTATGTTCACTAATGCCAAAGTGTTCAAGTTTTGGTGTTGCACACTCATAATGGTCCGTCTTTGGCGTACATTTTGGTATTTTGCCCAAAATACAGGGGCTCTGTGTTTTTAGAAGAGTTCCGTTCTTTGAATCTTCTTGATGTGCATTTGTTGTGTGTTGTCCTTTTGCTGCACTCCAAGGCCTGGAGAAAGCATATTGTGAAAGACCAAACTCAAAAAGCTGGGGGGTATGCAGTAGGTCTTTGGGCACTGGTGGCTTCTCAGGAGAAGCAGGAAGATGAGGTACATCATCTGCTTTTTCTTCACCAGATTTATTCTGAACAGACACCGTCAAATTACTGTTAACTTCTTCCTCCTCTTCTGTTTGAGAAAAGTAATTAAAAAAAGACTTATGTCAGAAGTTTCTGTTTTAAGAATTTATAAAATAAATTGGCACTTTGTCTCCCCCTTAATTTATTATTGTAAAAAATATATTCCTTCTTTTGTTTTAAAGCACTGAACCTGAAGTTACAACAGACATCTAAAGCTCATATCAGGCTAAGCTATATTTATAACATCAGTCACACATTTACTCTATTTCACTCTATTGGTAAGTATTATTTCAATTTCATTTTTCCTAGATTTTTTTTTTTTTAAACACAAATGTATTTTTAATGGAATTTAACTCCCTGCATGGATCAACCAGGAAGTGATCTTAAATATATTTGTTTTTATTTCAGTGCAAGAGTGGAAATTAAAAATGTACAACAAATAACAATGAAAACAAAGTTTGTATAGAACTGAAAATGTTTTGGGGAAAGAGCAAAGGCTGCATAGAGTACTAGAATGCTTATTCTTTAGAAAAACCGTCTTGAAGAAAATTTATGAAGCATTACATTTTTAGGTGTATTACGTATTCAGATACACTTAAAAAAATAACATTTAAAAATACATCTTAAAATAAGTTAACCTTGTACTCTGTTCCTCTGTTCGAAGTCTTCTTTAAAAGAAGAGAGAGGACAGGAAAGAAGATACTATAAAAGCCATATCTTTCTAAACAGTTGTAGCAGCTTAACTTGGAGGTGAATATGGTCCATGACCACGATTCACAATTTTGTTTTGTGTAATGACTGGATAACACTCTGGGAAAGGTTAAGGTGTGCCCTGGCAAAGGCTTCTTGAAGATTAATTAGGCCCTTAATACCAAAAGGGATATGCATGTGTAGTACTGACACTTCTAGTATTTTAAACTCATTTGCCCTTTCTTGGTTTTTCACACAGGTGTGTATGCACTTTCTGACTTGATTAAGAATGTCCTCCCCTCAATCATTCAGGCTACTGCTGCTTCATAGATTGCCATGCGTCACCTTATCCCTGTATGTGCATCTCTTGTGCAATTTGTGCTGTGGAGCACATTCTTTTAAGAGTTTCTCTATGGTGATTTTAGTTAATGGATTTATTACATATGAGTACAAAAACAATTTAGATGCATCTACAAGCTTCCCATGCACGAGAAGCTGAAGAAGCATAATTCTCTGGATTATCAAAACATGTTCGCTAACCTGTTTTCTAAGTATAGTTATTACTGGAGAAAAAAAGCCCATACACTAACTTAAAAGCACACCAGGAGATCTAACTGTAAAGTTTTTGTATTTTGGTTTATTCTTATGGCACCAATGACAACAGAATATTTTACCCTCTGGATATAGATATAAAGCAAACAACATAGCTGTACTTGATCTCTTAATTAATAGAAATACATAGAAATATAACATAACTAAAGAGAAACATTTGAGTATAGGGAAGAGTGTAGCCAGCAGGTCAAGGGAAGTCATTCTCCCCCTCTACTCTGCACTGGTGAGGCCACAACTGGAGTACTGTGTCCAGTTCTGGGCTCCCCAGTTCAAGAGGGACAGGGAACTACTGGAAAGAGTCCAGCGTAGGGCTACAAAGATGATTCAAGGATTGGAGCATCTCCCTTATGAGGAGAGACTGAGAGAGCTGGGACTCTTTAGTCTGGAGAAGAGAAGGCTGAGGGGAGACCTTATCAACGCCTACAAGTATCTCAAGGGAGGGTTGAAGGAGGAGGGAGCCAGACTCTTTTCAGTGGTTCCCACTGAGAGGACGAGGGGCAACGGGCACAAGTTGGAACATAAGAGGTTCCACTCAAATATGAGGAGAAACTTCTTCACGGTGAGGGTGACGGAACCCTGGAACAGGCTGCCCAGGGAGGTTGTGGAGTCCCCTTCTTTGGAGATTTTCAAAACCAGCCTGGATGCAGTCCTGAGTAACATGCTCTAGCTCTAGGCAATCCTGCTTCAGCAGGGGAGTTGGACTAGATGATCTCTATGGTCCCTTCCAACTCTAGAAATTCAGTGAAATTCAGTGAAATTCAGAATTACATAATTACATTTGCCTACTATATTGCCAAGAAATATTACCTGTAGAGTCTTTGACACGTGGTTTGTAGCCATATTTCTGGAACATCTCTCTTATTTTTCCAAGATCTGCTGCATTTCTTTGCCTCAGTATTTCACTTGCCTTCATAAAGTCATTAATTGCTTGTTTTTCAGAGGAAATCTTACGAAGACTGCCATGAACATCTTCCTTTGGGGGTGCAGGGGAGGAGGGAAACATAGAAATACCAGTTTTCAAATCACCACATGGTAGTTCTTTACACATGAAATGTTTGGGGAATAAGTATTGAACTTCAATTCAGATGAGGATAAACAGCAAATTTAGGTCTTATCTATACCTGAAAACTGGCTTACAAAATATCAGGAATATATAGGGCACGAAGTGTACAAAAATGTACAGAAGTTAAACTAAGATGACAGTTCACAGTATGATAACTACTTACTGGTAACCTATTAAACAAAAATATATGCTTTTACTCCATAAAAATATGATATAATAGCCATTAGTTTGGACTCTTACTCCCCTACGTACAAAGAACTCGTGCAGAGCAGGTGGTAAGCCTCAAGTTTACCTCAATTATATCTGCACTTGCTCATTTCTACAGCCCAGTTTTCCTATATCCATTAAAGAAATAAAGAATATTCTTCGCAAGTTTAACAGCTGAAGGTACTGAAAATTCTGTGAAGATTTTCTTTATTCTAAGTGCTTGTCATTGAATGCAAGCAAGCGTACCTCTTCTCTAGGGAGCTGCTGCTCCTGAATCCTTCTCCCCTATACCTATGCCCTGGCACAGCTACACCTTCCCTGTTACCTTTGTTTCCTGCAGATCCGAGCAACAACAGCAACTGCAAACTAATAAATAGTGCTAAATCTACTTTAAGTCACCCAAAAGTTTTTGGGCACTGCCCTGACATCCACAGCCATTATGATGCCTTAAAGCTAAATGAATCAAACTAAGGGTCAGAACGGCTAACATAGCTGTATTGGGGCTCAGTGACCAAAACACAACCATAACCCCACAGCCACCAATTTTTCAAGAAGGGACTAAAGACATTACCTTCAGAGTTTTGATTTCACAATGGAGGTCCTGTAAGGCTCGTATTGGAGATTCTTCCTCATAGTCTTCGATATGCATGTTCACATGAAAGAGTTTGAAAGGAAAAATCGGGTGTTAGTATTTTAGCATACAAGTACATAGAATCATAGAATGGTTTGGGTTGGAAGCGACCTCAAAGATCATTGAGTTCCAACCCCCCTGCCATGGGCAGGGACACCTCCTACTAGAGCAGGTTGCTCAAGGCCCCATCCAGCCTGGCCTTGAACACTTCCAGGGATGGGGCATCCACAACTTCCCTGGGCAACCTGTTCCAGTGTCTCACCACCCTCATGCTAAAAATTTCTTCCTGAGATCTAATCTGAATCTTTTTTCTTCCAATTTAAAACCGTTTCCCCTTGTCCTATCATTACACCTCCTGGCAAAGAGTCCTTCCCCAGCTCTTCTGTAGGCACCCTTCAGATATTGAAAGGCCGCTATAAGGTCTCCCCGGAGCCTTTTCTTCTCCAGGCTGAACAATCCCAGCTCCCTCAGCCTGTCTTCATAGGAGAGGTGCTCCATCCCTCTGATCATCTTCGTGGCCCCCCGCTGCACCTGTTCCAGCCGGTCCATGTCCTTTCTGTGTTGAGTACTCCAAAGCTGGACACAGCACTCCAGGTG